GATAATAACTGTGAAGTACATTTTTCTCGTGACGGTTGTATTGTGCAGGATCAGGTGTCGGGGAAGGTGATAGCGATGGGGCCTAAAGTGGGGAGACTGTTTCCATTGCAATTTATTGTTCCTCAGAATATTTCATTAGCATCTTCAGTTGTTGAGAATAAGACACACATCTGGCATAAAAGACTAGGTCATCCAAATGATATGGTGTTAAAGCATTTACATAAAAGTGACATTTTTTGTTCTACAGATAAGAATGTAATAGTTGACTGTTCTGTTTGTAAACTTGAAAAAACAAGATATTACCTTTTCCTAGTTCAGGCTGTCATGCCAATAAATGTTTTAACATTATTCATAGTGATGTTTGGAGAATTACACCAGTTGTTTCACATGCTCAATATAGATATTTTGTGACATTTATTGATGATTACAGTCGATTGACTTGGATCTATTTTTTACGTGTCAAAACAGAAGTATTTATTGTATTCCAAACATTTTTATCCTATGTTGAAACTCAGTTCTCCACTCGCATTAAAATATTACGATCTGACAATAGCGGTGAATACATGTCTCATGAGTTTCAAGCATTTCTCCAGAACAAAGTGATTGTTTCACAACGTTCATGTCCCTATACATCGCAGCAAACCGGAGTTGTTGAACGAAAAAAATCGACATCTATTGGATACTATGCGCACATTACTAATAGAATCTTCTGTTCCAGCTAGATTTTGGACTGAAGCTTTATCTACAACAGTTTATCTCATTAATCGTTTACCATCTCAACAATTGAAATATGAGTCTCCCTACTATCGAGTTTTTCATAAACACCCTAATTATCATACGCTACATACTTTCGGATGTGTTTGTACTTTGTTCATCTACCTTCTCATGAACGTCATAAATTGACAGCTCAGTCAGTACGATGTGCCTTTATGGGGTACAGTCCTAATCATAAAGGATTTGTGTGTTATGATTCGATTAATAGTCGATGACATATTTCTCGAAATGTGATTTTCTTTGAACATGAATATTACTTTCAGCATCATGTGTCCACATCAGATACAATTATACTTCCACAATTTGATAATTCTTCTGTTGATAAAAGGTTCAAGCCAGACATAGTCTACATACGACGTCTGCCCCCTTCACCTTCAAACATCCCCGACCCTGATCCAGAAATTGCTCCAATAAGTATTTGACGATCAACCTGATGTATCCGTCCTCCAGATAGATATGGGTATTCTGCAATTTTAACTAATGCTACTGTTCCTACTTCTTACTTTCAAGCCGCTAAACAGACTTGTTGGGTCAAAGCCAAGAAAGAGGAACTTCAGGCACTTCAAGATAATCACACTTGGGATATTGTTTCATGTCCTACAGGTGTTAAACCCATTGGATGTAAATGGGTTTATTCTCTTAAACTTCGATATGATTGCTCTCTTGACAGACATAAGGCAAGATTGGTAGCTCTTGGCAATCGACCGGAATACGGGATTGATTACGACGAAACATTTGCACCTATGGCTAAGATGGACTATCCGGCTGGTGTTATCTATTGCTGCATCTAAAGGCTGGTTCTTAAAGCAGATGGATATTAAGAATGCATTCTTACATGGGGATCTCAAAGAAGACGTCTATATGACTCCTCCTCCAGGCTTATTTTCTACACCTTCACATGATGTTTGTAAGCTCAAACAGTCCCTATATGGTTTGAAACAGGCTCCACGGGTCTGATTTGAAAAGTTTCGCAATACCCTTCTAAGCTTCTCTTTTATCTAAAGTCAGTATGATTCATCATTATTTCTTTGCAACAAAACTGACAAAGGAATTGTTTTGTTATTAGTATACGTTGATGATATTGTCATCACAGGATCTGATAATCAATTGATGTCTCAGCTACGAAAACGTCTTCAGGGATCTTTTCATATGAAATATTTAGGGTCATTAACTTATTTCTTAGGACTCAAGGTTCACTCTTCTGCCGCTGGTATTTTTCTTCATCAACACAACTATACGAATGGACTCATTTCTTTAGTTGGTCTTCAAGATGGTCGCTCTACTGATACCCCTTTGGAGGTAAATGTCAAATATCAATAGAATAATGGTGATTTTCTATCTGAACCATCTCTATATAGACAACTGGTTGGCAGTCTCAATTATCTGACTGTTACGAGCTATTTCATTTGTTGTGCAATAAGTCAGTCAATTTGTGCAAGCACCTACATATCTTCATTTAGC